ACTCTTGGGAGGTACGCTCTTCGATGAAAAACCACTAAGCCGTCGATAATCAAAGCTAACATACTGGTGTATAGGTCAAGGACGTCCCTGGTGAGCAGGAGGTCGTCCTGACGAAGAAGTTCGGCAACGAAGAGTAAGAACCCTTGCGACAGATCTTTTTTTCTTTGCTGTGATATTCCTTCTCACGGCTCACCCCAACTATTAGGATCCGCCTCACCTTCACCGTCGCCGACCTTCAGAACCTGAGCGAGCAGGAGGACTTCGATGACGCTGCTCTCGATGAGATGGACTTCGGTGGCCACCAGCCTGTCAACCAGGGCCGCTCTGGCAACGTCTCTCAGCACTCCGAAGACCGTGTCGCTCCCGCTGACCGCGAGGGAGATGAACTGGACCGCGACCTTGAGCCTAGCTTCCCTGCCCGTGTCAACATCACCGTTGAGAAGCCCAGCAACGGCGCCCTCCTGATCCAGACTGTTGCTCAGGACGGCCTGTTCCAGATTGAGGAGGTCTCCTACTTCAACAAGTCCGACCTGGCCCACGCTCAGACTGCCGAGAAGGACTGGACCAGACAGAGCATGTACGCTGGTCCTCCCTTCGAGAACCTCGATGAGGACCTGCAGACCTTCCTCGAGCGCTACCTCGACGAGAGGGGCATCAACGCTGAGCTTGCCAACATGATCCCCGACTACATCCAGGTTAAGGAGCAGAAGGAGTACGTTCGCTGGCTTGAGAGTACGTGACATCCCAACAGATCTCTACATTCGACACTCCGCTAACCATATCTACAGACGTCAAGAACTTCGTCTCCGCTTAAACGTGGATGATGTTCTTCCAGAATTCTTTAAGGTTATGACAACCCCGTTATGAAAATATCGGAATCATGTTTCAATAATCATGCCACTGTTTTTCTGCAGTGTGCTTATGTATATTAATAGTAGATGCTCAGTTGAACCTGGCCAGGTAACACTGTTGAAATGATTGATACTCCCCCTCTCTGAACAAAAACATAAAATGGCTCTAATAAATTAATCCGACCGTGTGAACCATATCTTCTCCTTCATAGTCTTCTCCCACGCCACTCCAAGCGCGGACGGCTTCCCCTTTTCCCCAATCCGAAATTCCGCCGCATACACATCAGGAAAGAAAGCCCCCAAGTCTCCAACATGCTCCGATATAGCGAGAAAATGCTCCCCATTGACATGTTTGAAGCTCAGATACTCCGGCCAAGTCGTACGATCCCGGTCAGCCCGTAGTGTATTTTTCGACCGATCAAGATAAATCTCAACAGTCTGATAGCCCGGATGCACATACGTCCCAACATATTCCTGTAGGTCTAACGAGTGCGAAATCACATGCTTGGGGACCTTATGAATAGCATCAAGGGCCTTTTTCTTCTCCTCTTCTATGTGTGCCATATTCCTAACATCAGACAGTTAGCATCAACCACCTTTCCCTGAAAAGAGCCCTGATCCCAAACATACTTTGCATTCCAGTCAAACCTCCTCTCAACCGGCACACCAAGTTTCTCATCCACCAACCGAAATGCCAGCGCCTTCTGCGCGTAATTCGACGTCCCTGCTGTATTCGCCAACATGACAACCGCATACTTCAAGCTCGGGAATAAGATCATCTCGGCCCCGAACGCATTCATCCCCCCTGTATGCTCGAAGAACTGCACGCCTTGGTATACGCCCGTATACCAGCCCAGAGCGTATGCTCGCGGGCCCGTGAACGGCGCCTCGGGAGGCAGAACAGTTCGCGGTTCGAAGATTGCTTTGTATACGGCGGGCGATAAAGGCTCGGTTTGGTTAAGTAGTGCGCGCGCCCATTTTGCGTAATCGAGGACGTTGGTGATGATGCTTCCGGCGCCGGAGATTTCGTCTAGTGGCATCCAGGGGACTTCGTGGTAGTGGTTGTCGCTGCCCTTGTCGCTTGGGGTATGGTAATATCCGCGTGCTAGGTGGTGAGGGGATGCTTTGGCGTTGTTGAGGTCAAAGAATGTGGATTTCATGTCAAGGGGTTGCCAGATGGTGCGAGCTAGGGTCTCGCCTAGCCATTCTCCGCCGGTGAGGGTCTCGATGACGTGAGAGACGACGACGTACATGAGATTGCAGTATTGGAGTTTGGTGCGCGGAGGAGCGGTTAGTGGGAGATGGCGCAACTGACGCACTATTGTTCGTACGGCTTTGTCGCGGGTGAGACGGTTGCCGTAGGCTTGATCGTGACGGGGGAGGCCTGAGCGATGGGATAGGGCATCTTCGATGGTGGTGTGTTCGGTTGTGTGCTCGTCGTGTAGGACGAAGTCGTCGCGGATGAGGTGGCTGATGGGCGTGTCCCAGTGTACTTGGGGATGGGTGTCGTCGTCTTCGACGAAGGTGGCCATCAAGGCTGCGGTGAAAGCTTTCGTGGTGCTTCCGGCATAGAAGAGCGTTGAAGGGGTTACGGGCTCAGAGGGGAAGGTCGCAATGCCGTATCCCTGTGCTTGTTTGTTAGTATGGGAGTTCTGTCTATTATCTTGATCATTGGAGATGTATGGGACACCTGCCTTGGCCCAGGTGTTGTCTCCATCGACTACTGCGATTGAAATGCCTGGAACGTGCCAGTAGTTCAGTGTCTCCTGGACGAGGGTTTTGAACCGCTCATCTAACGGGTTAGTGTTGGTGTGGTCTGCTGCCATGTTTGCCTGGCTTCATGGAAGAAGCAGATGGCCGAGTCAAAGCCTCTCTTTTACTTTAATACATCGTCTGCGCGGGGTTGAGGCTGACATGCTGAGTTTCCCCGTCGGAGCTCCGCATGCCAATCAAGGAAGCTTAGAGTGATAATCAGGCTTATTTGCCGAAGACTGATTTGAGGATATGGCGGAAAAACAGACAGATTATTTACGTAGAATGATGAATAAGGTTCTAGTAACGTAAAAGGAGAAAAGTAACTCCAGCATGTCCAACCTTTGCAATGCACAATGACGCCAATCCCGTTGCCCATGAATATATCATATCCGACGTGCTAATCCAAATCAATGACCAAAGTCAAACGCGCAACAACACAAAATTGTCAGACTTGGAATGTCTAGAACTCCATGCTCTCGGTCTTGACCTCAGTCGCATCGTCGTTCCTTTCCCGCTTGCCCGTACGCTCTTCCTTCAGAAGCCCGGCAATGAATGAGCGGAAATAGTCGACGTACGGCTTCAGACTCGTCTTTTCATAGTCTTGCAGTCTGCGACTACCCCTAGCATCGGAGTCGGGTACACTACCTTCGCCATCTGCTACCTCCGGACCTGCATTGGTGCTTGGATGCTCCGCATCCCACGCATCGATCTCCGCAAGCAGTTCCGAAACTGTAGGTACCGAGAGGGGGTCGAATTGTTCCGCCTTTCGGGCGTCTATCGGAACACACACGCGACCAGTGCCAGGGTGAATGACAAATGGACTCTTTAGCAAGTGAATCATCTTTTTGCTAACTTCAGAATCCAGGCGCGGATATGTGTACTCGAGAACAATGTCTTGCTTGGCATCTCGCAGTGTAGTAGGGTTGAGAGTGCTGCTCTTGCCTGTCTTGGCCAATGCGTCGATATCCGCCCACTTATTGGCACTGCTGCGGTCGGGCGAAGACTCCCATCTCTTCCTTAAGGATTCGTTCAACCCCTTGTCGGGCAGCAAAGAAAGAAGACGTTGCGCTTGCTCTGAACTCCCAAATGTTTCCTGGTCCACCAACGTAGTTTGAGCGAAGTACGGTTTAAGAATTTCGAGGCTGCGAGACATGTGTGGATGCAGAGGCCGCTTGAGATTAACACGCTTTCCGCTCGAATTTCCTCCTCGGATGACATCTAAGTAGCCCGCGATGGCTCTTCTCCGATCATCTGGAAGGTTGCGTGCACGGGGATCGCAAACCCAGGCGTGGGCACCACGACGACCAGAATAGACCCATAATATATGCTCGAAACCGAAATCTTCGCGTAGCGCCGTGTCGACGACTTTCATTGCCATGGTGACAAAAGCCCAGCACTTGCTACAAATGTTTGCCTTCTCACAACAGGATCTGATGTCATCGTAATCCGTAAGGTCGATATCGAATACTAATTCTTTGGCAATCGGCTTCATCTGGCCACCTCGGAGCGTCTTCCTGTCTCGCGGATTCGTGTTGTAGACAGGCCCGATTTCAAATCGGGATGGGTTCATTTTTAGGATATCTTTCCGGAAACTATAAGATGGGGAACGTTAGAGCCTTGAAACAGCGATGAAGGACTCTTCGACTCACAGATCCGCAGTCGCATATGATTGATATCGCAGGTAGGCATCGTTTTGAAGGGTAAGGGCGAATTCACGGTTTCCGAAGTCGGGGGAAGGAACAATGCCATGGTTCAACCATTGGAATAGATAGCGGAAGGGAAAGAGGCGTTGATAGAACGCAAGCATTGTATCGGTATCAACCTGGGGTCCCGGAGCAGCAGCAGGTCTGGTAAATTTCAGGTTAATGCCCCCTCCCTCGAATTATATCACATCATGTATACTTACTCCGGAGCAGAGGAAGCACCATTTTTCGTCTCTGGCGCACTAGAGGCTGGGTATTCATCATCGTCGTCATCGTTGAATAGGTCTTCAAGTTTCACTCCTGAGGCTGCATTGGCCTCCTGGTTTGCGGGTGCTGTCTCTGCAGGAAGAGCGTCAGGTAGAAGTTCATCATCCTTGCGATCAGCGGACGAGTCCTGCGAAGATACTGAGTGAGGCATTCCGAATATTGACGTAGTGCTCAAGCTGTGGTGAGTTGCATGAGCGCCTTCAATCAACATCCATTATCGTCAACTCATTAACCCCACGCGTCACGACGCGTTGCCAACACGATCGGCGTGTTCCCCGGCAGCCCTAAGCCCTAGCGGATCTGCTGGTTTGGGGAAGAAGAAGCTGTATATCACGTGAGTGAGTATATCCGCAAACGGCGATTACTCAGCAAGGTACCGAAGTATGGCCTCGACGACGACTACCACTTCTTTGCCTGCTACAACCTCATCATCTTTGGGTCCACCCCTGTGTGATCAGGAACATTCTGGCAGGCTTTTGGCTGTTTGCGGTATTTGCTGACGCTGTTCCATTGGACTCATCTCGTAATCAAGGATGGATGACGTGTATACTGCCCTGAACCATGAGAATGGACTTCGGGCCCTATGGAACCTGAAGGCTCTCATCAACAGACTGAATCTATCTATATCCTCTAGTTGGCCTTCTTTGCCTGATCCGGCTGTGCCATACGATTGACTCACTAATGTCTTAGCAGATTCATCCTGACTCAAGCCAAGCCAGTCGGGTCCTTGTGGGGTAAAGAGAGGAAGAGGGTATCCCCCATGCTTGTCAGTTCCTCTCTGGCGATACCCACAGCAGTCTCAACATGCTGTGGAGGCATCCCCAGCTGCTCGATTTGCTCCTTCTCTTCCTTGTTTTCTTTTTCCCTGAAGTTCCAGGGTTTCCCCCACCGCCCTGAATCTTATTCAGTTGTTGCAACGTTGCAGAAGTACCCATTGAGAGTATCCACCACTCTGGGTAGCTCATCGAAGCCCGCGGATGTTTTGGGAGTCTATGGAACCCTACAGCTTGGGGGACAGCTCAGTAGTCAATATTGCTATGGACATGTGCCGTGTGTGCCGTGGCTGTTGTCATCCGCGAAAATAGAGCGACAGTCAGCTGTTCATTAACTCCCCTCATTGTATAAGTGCTGTTCACGAGCTTTTACATAGGAACTTTCTGTGGTGCGCAGAAATTCCGTAATGGATTGATGACGCCACCACTATATTCTTTCATCGAATGAATTCCCAGGTTTACACCCTGAAGACCCTGATGTGAGCATTGTGGGCCTTGATCTTGATGATACGACAGAATGTGACACTCCCAACAATTTATCCAAGCAGAGGGCTTTTCTTCTCTCACTACACTGGTTCCTTCACTATCCGTGGTTTGCCTAACTCTAATCTACTACGTAGCTCGCATAGATACTGGCGTTGAGCAGCAAATCTAGCTTTTTACTCCTGGACCAAGCGTCCATTGCGCCATGATCTGTTTTTCCATTGGATCCTACTGTGGCATTATTGCAATCATGCACGAGCTGTGATCACGGAAACGGTTGGAAGATTCAGCAATGAAAGATTTAAAGGTCAGGCCTGTCTGCTCTCTTGACTTGTCTCTCTTTCCCTTTCGTATTACATCTCGGAGTCACTCGCTGTTCTATTTTCCACTCGTTTGCCTTGAAAAGTTGTTTTGTGGTGTTCCCTTTCATTAACCGGACCGAGTATCAATAACCGAGATGGTCAAGGGAGGTGTTGCGTTCCTGGCCTTTGCTGGCCCAGCTCTGGCAGGAGTCATTGCCCGCGGTGGAGAGGTATGCTGGAACTCCGACTGACATAAATCGCCTTGCCCATACTGACATGAAAAAGCCTGGTGGTGAGCCTCAAGTCGGGACCATTGTCGGCACCAACTACCCGGGTAAGAGATTTGCTCGACTATCCTACTGCTTATAATCGTCTCTAATACTTGGATAGTGGCTACTGGCACGGCCCCTCCTCCCCCTCCCCCTCCCATCCAGTTTCCTACTGGTACTGCGCCTCAACCCAAGCCTACCACCAGCCATGGGACCGCTCCTATTAAGCCAACCACCAGTATTGGAACGGCCCCTATCAGGCCTACTACCAGTATTGGAACGGCCCCTATCAGGCCTACTACCAGTATTGGAACGGCCCCTATCAGGCCTACTACCAGCTTTGGAACGGCCCCTATCAGGCCGACTACCAGTCAAGGAACGGCTCCTATCAGGCCTACTACCAGCTTTGGTACAGCTCCTATCAGGCCTACCACCAGCTCTGGCACGGCTCCAATCAGGCCTACCACCAGCTCTGGCACGGCTCCAATCAGGCCTACCACCAGCTCCGGTACGGCTCCTATCAGGCCTACCACCAGCTCCGGTACGGCTCCTATCAGGCCGGGCACTACTGAAACCACTGTCGGCCCCATCCCCACCAACGGTACAACGGTGATCCCACCTGCAACCGTTACTACTCATACGCCTGTACCAATCCAGAACAGCACTGTTATCCCCACTCAGTCCACCCAGCCACCATTCCAGAATACCACGGTTCCTGTTGTTCCTGTTGTCCCCACTCAGTCACCTCAGCCGCCAGTTCAGAACACCACGGTCCCTGTTGTTCCCGTTGTTCCTGGTCAGAGCACTGTCCCCGTTGTTCCTGGTCAGAGCACTGTCCCCGCTGTTCCTGGTCAGAGCACTGTCCC